ATGAGAAAAGAAAAACAATTACATGGAGACTAAACAACATGCTACTGAAAAACCAATGGGTCAACAATGAAATCAAAGAAGAAATTAAAAGATACCCTGAGACAAATGACAATGAAAACACAACCATACAAAAATCTATGGGTTGCAGCGCAAGCAGTTCTTAGAAGTTCATAGCAATAGAGGCCTTCCTCAAAAAACAAGAAAAATCTCAAGTAAACAACCTAACCTACCACTTAAAAGAATTAGAAAAAGAAGAACAAACAAAACCTAAAATCAGAAAAGAGGAAATAAATAAAATAGATTTTAAAAAATAGAAAAAATCAATAAAGCCAAGAGCTGGTTCTTTGAAAGAGTAAAGAAGATTGACAAACTCTGGCCATGCTCACCAAGAAAAGAGAGGGAATCCAAATAAAGTAAGAAATGAAAAAGGAACATAATAACTGATAACGAGAAATAGAAAACATCATAAGGGACTACTATGAACAATTTATATGCCAACAAATTTGACAACCTAGAAGAAATGGACAGGTTTCTAGAAACACAGAGCCCACCAAAATTGAATCAGGAAGAAACAGATACTTTTTGTTTTTCTTTTTGCGGTACACGGGCCTCTCCCGTTGCGGAGCACAGGCTCCAGACACGCAGGCTCAGCAGCCATGGCTCACAGGCCCAGCCGCTCCGCAGCATGTGGGATCTTCCCAGACCGGGGCACGAACCGTGTCCCCTGCATCGGCAGGTGGACTCTCAACCACTGCGCCACCTGGGAAGCCCCAGATACAGATATTTTGAACAGACCAATCACTAGAAGTGAAATAGAATCTGTAATTTCAAAATTCTCTACAAACAAAACTCCAGGACCAGATGGCTTCACAGATGAATTCTACCAAACATAGAAAGAACTTATACCAATCCTTCTCAAACTCTTCCAAAAAACTGAAGAGGAGGGAACACTCCCAAAGACATTCTATGAAGCCACCATCACCCTGATACCAAAACCAAAGACACCACCAAAAAAATTAGAGGCCAATATCTTTGATGAATATAGATGCAAAAATTCTCAACAAAATATTAGGAAACCGAATCCAACAACACATAAAAAATATCATACACCATGATCAAGTGGGATTCATCCCACATTCACAAGGATGGTTCAACATCTGCAAATCAGTCAGTGTGATACACCACCTAAACAAAAGACAAAAATCACATGTTCATCTCAATAGATGCAGAAAAAGCATTTGATAGAACTCAACATCTATTCATGATAAAAATTCTTACCAAAGGAAGTATAGAGAGACCATATCTCAACATAATAAAAGCTATTTATGACAAACCCACAGCTAACATCACAGTCAATGGTGAAAAGCTGACAGCCTTCTTACTAAAATCTGGAACAAGACAGGGATGCCCAGTCTCATCACTTCCACTCAACATAGTATTGGAAGTCCTAGCCACAGCAATCAGACAAGAAAAAGAAATAAATGGTATTCAAATTGGAAGGGAAGAGATAAAATTGTCATTTTATACAGATGACATGATACTATAGAGAGAGAACCCTAAAAACTCCACACAAAAACTACTAGAACTGGTAAATTCAACAGGGTAGCAGGACACAAGATTAACATGCAGAAATCGGTTGACTTTCTTTACACTAACAATGAGATATCAGAAAGGGAATGTAAAAAACAATACCTTTTAAAATCCCACCCCTGTAAGTAAAATACTTAGGAATAAAGCTGACTAAGGAGGTGAAAGATTTATACACTGAGAACTATAAAACATTAATAAAGGAAATTGAAGATGACTCAAAGAAATGGAAAGATATCCCATGCCCTTGGACTGGAAGAATATTGTTAAAATGGCCATACTACCGAAAGCAATCTACAGATTTAATGTGATTCTTATCAAATTACTCATGGTATTTTTCACAGAACTAGAATAATCCTAAAATTTATATGGAATCACCCAGTTTTTGTCACTTGATATTATAGCAGAGTTTCATTTTGGTGTGAGCTATGGCATTTAAAATATGAACAATATAATAGGGTTGTTCCCCTTTGAACACTTGGGTACTACTACTTTGTTAGTGGAGAGGTAGGTAGCTCAAGTATAAAATCAAAATTATTGATTAGATTGTGCTTTAAGATAATAGTAAAATGTAGTTTAAGCAGAACAAAAAAATACCTGATAATCCAGGAATTAACAAAAATCTTATTTTTATGCTTAAGTTAAAAGAACAGGTCATTTCTAAAAGTATGATATTCTAAACTGACATAGTATTTAAGAATTTTCGAAAACATCCCTAAATGAAATGCTTCTGTCACCATAATTATGTCAGTGATACACAATTTAAAACTTGTCTAATTTGGCTTGTGACAAGTTTGCTTCAAGGTATGAGCTGGAATGTTGGGGAGTAGTGGAAGTTTCTGAATAGCATATATATAAGGGATTTACCTGGAGGAATACTAGGGTAATATTATTTATTTGAACTCCAGTTAGGATGCCAGGCACCCTTTGCAGAAATATATGCATTTTCTGACTTACTTCTCACAACAAAACCAACAAGCAGATACTAATAAAGCCATTTTACTGTTAAGGAAGTTGACATAATTCAGCTGATAAATGTTAGTTTATCATCTTTCCAAATTTATGATCCTTCAACCCTTTTTCTTATGTCCATCCTTCCCTTTCAAATGGGAAAACAGTTGTTTTCACCTCTTGATTTTTTTCCTTGTCTAAAATAGGTTTAATCCCTTTCTTTCTATCCTTTCTCCCTTCCCTTCTCCTTTCCTCTTTCCTTCCCTCTTTTTAAGTATGAGAGAATTGTGGATTTGTATAACTTCGAATTTCAGGTAAAATATATTTTGTAACTAAATTCTCAGTGATTTGTTACACTATACCTTTGTTAAAGTACTTCCTCACTCAAAGCAGGAGTGTATAGGGTATTTTGTGGCTGTAACTTATTATCTTATTGTCTGATTAAAACATGAAATTTGGTTATGTACTGTTCATTTCAATTTTGTATGTGTATTTTAAATTCCCATGATATGTGTGTGCATTTGCAATAGACCATCCAGGAAACAAGCTAATATTATTTATAAAGAAGGTGAAATATACATGAAATGTGGAAATATGCTATTAATTTAATACTTAAATAAGCTGTGGAAAATTTGTCTCTAATTATTAACTATATGTAACACTCATCTCAAATTCAATGACTTTTGTCCCCCTCCCCAAAATATATTTTCCTTATTTTTCTGACTCAGCTAATTTTGGTCTAACTGAACATTGGTTTTAACTTACTCATTGAATGTCAATATAAATATGCACCATCATAGGTAGGTACATAAGTTATAAATAACTCCTTTAAAGGAGTACTTAATGTGTCAGACGTTTAGAAGATCCCATCTTTTTCTACATATGTATAAAACTCAGACTCAGAGTGGTGTTGTATAAGTGTGATGTGATTGATCTCCAGTAAGAGAAGAAAGAGAAGGCATGAGATGGAGGGTTGATCTAAACTTTATATAAGCCTTAGGAAAGACATTTGAGTTCTTACATTGCAATACTCTTACCTGGAATTTTAATTCGAACCTACCCATTTTTAGAAGGGTATTGTTGTACTCCCGTCTGTAGGACACACATGTGGAATTCCTCTTTTATCCTCCTGACTCCCTCTCAGTATCTGTAGTCGAAACAAGACGCATGCCCTTTACAGAGCCGGCACAATTAGGGGTAAGATCTGCAACTTAGAAAACTATGGAATAGTGTTTCTCAGTATAAAGCCAATTGGCTCAACTCACATACTTAGTCTAATAATACCTTAATCAACTAAATTCGTCTGCCCCAATTTCATATTTTATAGTCAGGACAGAAAGGATACAACTTAATATCCTAAATATCATAATTTGAGTCTGGGAACAATACCAACTTGTCACTCTCAGGACCCAGCTGACGGTGAAACTGGAGACTACACGAAGTTATGCAGCAGCTGAAACTGCACAAGAAATGGATTCCACGTGAGAAGAGCAGAAAAGGCTGAAAGTGACGCTGAAGGGTGTTGCACTGGACACTGCTTTACTTTGTTACATTCTGGAGAAAGTGGTGTATTTACCAGGTAGAACGTGACCTGCGAACAGTTATGATGTGCTAAACCTGACTACCAGAAAGTAACGTCAGAAGATTTCCTACATTTCAATAATAAAACTAGATTTAAGACAGTCAAAAGTAGTGACTGGTTAATTTCCACAAAATTTAATTTTTCAGAATTTCTAATTACTATATGTAATATTCAATAAAAGACTCATCAATTTGCCAATTTAAATAAAAGTTTTAGAATCAATTAAGTGTGATTTTGTTCCCCATGCTTTCATGTTCCTACTTAGCATAGGAAACTGTACGGTTTGCTTCAATTTCATTAAAATTAGCTTCAGACTTTCTTTTGTTCATCAAAGACAGTTTCAGCTCTCCAGGTGCTAATACTTACTTTAGAAAGGAAAAACAAATATCGAGTTGGAGGTCAACGTACTTCCCTTTTGATGGGTTGCTTTATCAAATATTAAAAAATGAACAAAGGACGTATTGTTTCAACAACTAAATCCCAATAATGGTGGTGTATCCATTCAGATTTCAGCAGTTATACTTGCGGCCATGGTATCAAAGCCCCGGGAATACTTTTTCAGGAAATCTCTTTTGCTGCAAGTTGTGCATCAGCAGCTACCATGGGTCAGCAAGAACCATACAAAGGAGGGTCTTGAATTATGTCTGCAATGTCAGGCTTTTATCAGATTTACACATTGGTGACGATGAATTTCATATGTTAGGTGTAAAGAAAAAACTTCTCCCTAAGTACAGACTCCAATACAAGCCCAGTGTGCCATATGAAGGCTAGATGAGACTAGAAAAGGCAGGACAGATTCATCATCACAGAATGAAAAGCACACAGCAATTTCAGAGGATAAAAAGGTGAAATCTTACCGTAAGTCCTTTATTAGAAACACATCCAAAATGTACATATACTCTAAGAACAGTCTGTAGTAGAAGAATGGGGGGAAAAGGAATGCCAGTCAAAACATTATGTAAAAGATGTCACATGAAATTAACTTTAAGGAATAGAGCATTATTTGATGTTCTCCAAGAAGACAAAATTTTAAAATGAGGTGTCCACGACAAGCTGGAATTCTTTTCATTTTTATATTATTTTGCAGAGGCAAATGCGTGTTGTGTGTGTGTGCTTACTACGTAATTAATTCCTAGTAAGTCTACAGTGTTTCTTGTCAGAAACAGTGATATTCTATATAAACTCCTTTACATTAATTTAGATCATCAAATTTCAGTGGTCCCATGTCCCTTCTCAATTTTCAGCACAAGAATGGTCAATATTACCTAAAATCTTAGTTTCCTTTTGCTATGGAATATGCCAAGGTGGCATAAAAACTTACTCTAAGTGCCTAAATGTTTGCAGGGTTAGGAAGTTAAATATACCAAGTATTTAGGAAGCCTATTTTGTAACAAATATAAACATTTTTATATATGCTGTTTTACAGTATTGTGTTAAGCATTTTTTTTAAAAAACGTAGAAAGTAAACTTTGACACTGGAACAGCAGCACCATTCTGGGACGAGATCCCCTTTGCATTCTGTACTAGTCCATGGGCCTAGGAAATCTAGAATATTCTGACATGGCCCAGACTGAAGGCTCCAGAGTTAGTTTTTTATTCTGTCATACAACAAATTAACAACCAGCAGTGATAACACAGTTTTGAGCCCAAGATAGTTAAGGCTATGAAAATTCCAAAGAACTAGTGCCTCAGCTAGTTAAATGAATTCTGACAGATCAAAGTTAAATGAATGTATCCTTTCTAAATCTGCTACTTGGAGAATCACCATGATGATTTTTTTTGTATCAGGGAAACCTCACAAGATTGAGACAACAGCAAAATGATGAAACACCACTTTTAAAAAAAGGAACACCTGAAACATTAGCCATAACTTTAATCATCCTTAAATTATATTTGTGAATATCAGAAATAATATTATAAGTCAAGTTTCTTTTATTAGTAGTAATGTTGCTTTTCACACGGTGTTTACGTTTGACCAAGAATGAGATGAGAATTAAAGACAGTGTTCTCTCTTGTGGCCCTGAAATCAACTCGGCTTAACTGTAGAGATACTTTCCAGATCTAGAAATGCTTAGAAATAAACTATAAAACAGGAGGTCTGGGAGTAATGGAAATTATGTTTTCTTCATCAAAAACAACTTTAAAATGTTCACTTGGATTTTACGATAGAACTCTGCTAGTTACAGTCCTGTAGTAAAATACAATGCTAACACCAACTGTGGTAGTGATTATATAGCTTATAGACAAAATAAAAATGCTATTGAATTTCTGCTATATTCACAAATACTGCATTTATATATGTACATGCAAATAAACCTCATTATTAATGATAAAATCTTAGGGTTTTAAATAGACACATTTCCTCCTACCTACCCATCTCCATATATTCACAACCCCAAGATGAGTTTTCACAAGCAACATTTAGATTTGTGAAGGAAAAAATGAATATTTCCAGTACCTATCCTCTTTTCCTCCCTCCCTTTCAGCTTTGGGAGAGGCAGCAGCACATAAAATTGAATGCAAAACCTAAGGTTATAAGACCTTCTGTGATCCATATTCACACTTATCCAATGAGTTGGCTGCCAAATAGGTCAGAAGAGTTTTGAACAAAGTAATGTATTTGCATATAAGCATTTCATAAAAGTGATCCTCTGCACACACACACACACACACACACACACACACAATGGATATAGAAAGTGTTTCTTAGAAGTAGCATTTTAACTATCCTGTGTAAACCCAGGAATGAATCACCAATGAATACGTTTATGCTGCAACTGTTAATCATGATTATTAATCAACAGAGTGTTCGGTATAGCCAACAACTACCTCCCCCCAAAAAAAAAAAAAAAAAAGGGAATGGAAAAAAAATAATAGAAGCCAGTGATTGTAAAGCAAAAAGAAATTCTAGATATACAAATATCTTGAATATTAATATACAAAGATATAAAAGCATATCTGAACCTACCTGTATTATTGAATACCTTTCAAAATTATTTAGGCCTGACTTCAGGGTAAGAGTTTGGCCTTTTCCCAGGATAGTACAGGAGCCATAACCTTCTACAGCAGAAAAGAAGAGAAAGATACTTCCAAGTGAGTACCTGCACTCCAGCTTGCCTCTAAGTCTTTCCCTCTATGATTGTCTTATTCATGCTCTTAATTTCTCAATTAAACCAAATCACTTATCTTTTTGTTATTGCTAAGTGATTTAAAAGTTCCAGGATACAAATACTAATATATCTGAAATGCTTATAAATAATCAATCATCTTTTGGATAAAAGGTGACAGCACGCAAAGAGTCTTTTAAGGACCTGTTTTGGTTTCAGTGCTTTCAAAAGAAAGGATGATGTACCGTAGGTCTCTCCACACCATTTTCTAAAGTTTCGCTTGACTACAAACCTTCAGCCTGATCAGGTCCAGCACCTCATCGTCATCAGCTCACTCCGCAGCATGGACATGACATGGTTTTGAGGGTAATTTCCTCAGCAGCCCTGTAAATTGTGAGTCACTGAGATTATACAAAATTGGTATTTGGCTTCCTTTCAAGTTTCACATTCATCACATAATCGGGCTATGAAGCATCCCATACAGAGAAGGCGGCATCCAAAGCAATGAGTAGATCGTGTTTAAATAATACACACTACTAAATTTTACAGCTGTCCTTTTATATTCAAATGATATTAAGCACACTGTCATGTTAAATTGAAAACACTTTAGATCTAAAAATATACTACTGAAACAAATGACACAGTGAGAAGAAACAAGACCAAAATCTATTTGTATAAAATACAGTCTATAATTTCAGAACAGATGCTACATATAGCCATACTTATTAGATATCTTCTAAATTATCATCTGGGCATTTATATTTTTAAAAATTGTCTCTGGCGAGTCTCAAATTTAGTATTTTCACAGAGTTTAAAACATCTATAACGAATCTTTATGTTTCTTTTTAAAACTGCAACTGAGCATAAATATAATTCTAAAACAAGATTCCTGACTTCAAAGAAGTGTCTTCAGGTAACCTTTCTCCAGAAATCAGTAAAACTAAAAAACTTCCTTAAAATTATACTTCCTCTCTCTTTTGAATGGTCTCCAAATAGGAAAGTTCATGAATTGGGCTTCATTTTAATTTTTTTCTGGTTTTTGGATTCTTCTACACTGCTTTGACAACACTATTACATTTTATCTTCTCTTCTCCCAAAACAAGCTATTCATTGTATGTTGCTCTCAAGTATTTAACTGAAATATAACCTAAAGGAAGAAATTATGCTTCTTGCTTCAATTCCCCTTAAGCATCAGTGATAATTTCAATCGTAACAATTGCCAGGTTTATGTTTTTTATTCTGGATTCCTAATTATATAGGATTGAGAGTAATTCAGAAGTGTTTCAGAATCATCTACTGCCAAGATTCTGAAAAATGTCTTTTGTGAAACAGAATGTTAATGCTCTGAGGACTCTGTTATGTCTGCACTAATATGTTCTGTGCACTTTGATGAAATGAGAGGGTAAAGGTCCAGGTGTATCATGACTAATATTGTAATACACCTACTGTCCTGTTACCCTGTCAGTCAACAGATAATGAGAACCTATTTTGTTTCCATTTTTCGTTACATATATTTATATATTGTTAATTTCCAAAGCTCGCTAGTATAAATTCAGGAGGATCAGCCTGATAAATATTTAAGTGTTATGGTCAGTTTTTGTGTTGATCTTATCTAGACCATGAATGTCAGCCTATGACTGATGAGAGGAAATAATGTTTCCTGAGAATTGTCTAAAATGCGCAACATTTCAATCAATGTTTCAGTTCTTAAATACCTCTTTATTTTAAACTGATCTGTTATAAGGAGCTATTTATTAACTAAGATCAACTTTTGGCCTGTTTTAGCAAGTTTTAGCAAGTTTTATCCTGTTATCATGTTTGAGACTTTGCAAACTCTTGCCCCTTATCCTTTATCTGCAGTGAAATATCTTGGAAATCTTAATCTCTTTCTGGCTAAACTAGTAATAACCAGTTGCAATAACCAGCATCACAAATGCACACACACACAGACACACACACACACACACACACACAAGGATAACAATAAAAAATGCCTAATACGGAGTATGTTAATAAACTTCACTATAGAGAGATGGCCAAGAAGAGCCATGGCTCCTTTTTCCATTTTTATAAGACATAACACAAGTAGTATTTTGGAAGGCTACAAAGTTATTTTTTTCCATTTGTACCACTTCTTGACAGAAGTAGGATTTTTTTTTTTTTTTTTGCATATGTATCTACAGACTCTAAAGGTAGGCAAGTAAGAACTATGAGACCAGTGAATTACTTTTCGCTACTTCTGCTATGCTAATCAGCTGAGAGAAATCTGGCTTTCGTATTAGGAGCCCTTCTGAATGGCTTAATTCCTTTACAGCTACCATTAGCTGTCAGCCTCTCCATGGATATTGTCCATGTGCACTTTGAGGTAGTCATTCCTTGTAAACTTCTTATGGCAAAACTGGCATTCTGCCAGTGGACGATTAGGATTATGAGTCATCTTGTGTCGGATCAGCATTTTCTTCAGGCTAAAAGCCAAGTCACAAACCTAGAAAAGACCCAAAGATACCAATCACATTATGCTGAAAAATCTGAAGATACACCAAGTTATCACTTACACAAAATACAATATGCAAATTCCTATTATCAAGTATATGCTGACAGGCTTAAGAACAAAAGTGCTCTGGAAATAAATGGAACTTAACATCCAAGGTAAAAGGTAAAGAAAATGTATTATAGTTCCAAGAGTTGTTTGCATTTAATGTGTGTCCTCTGCATCCCAACCACTCTCCCTTCCCCCAGCTACTATATTTTTAAACATCTCTAAAGACACAACTCCCTGGAAACAGTATCTTTCTCCCCATAATTCAGTGTATTAACAATTTCACGTTAAACCTCTTAAACAAAGTGCCTTGATCCAGAGGGCATCTTTTTAGTATATGGCATAAATAGCACAAGACACGTCTCACCAGTGATCCCTTCAATCTGGACCCATGTGTGAAGTAAAAGGTTAACACTGCTTTAAGCGTCCTAAGCGGAAGTTCGTTATCCACTATTCCAGTTCTTTATTTCCAATTAAAAATACTTCACATTTTCTTCATGTAAGCTCTGCGACATTGCCACCTGACTCAACAGACATTAAACAGCCCAATAATTTAAAATATTAAATTAACCGAGAAGATGTGAGGCATACTCAAAAATAAAAATGAAATGGAATTCTTTTATAATACCAAATTTTCATTCAAAGTTTGCTGTTATTCACAAAAATTCCATTTACATGCAATTCTTCAAAAGCACATGCACGATCAAATAAAATACTTAAATAATGTGAAAATTCGCTGAAAAACATAGTGAATATAATGGGAGAGGTAAAGCCTTGTAAAAATACTGGAAAGAAAGCTGAAGTTCTGAATGAGGTGAAGCATGTGAAAATACAAAAGCAAATAAAAGATTCACTCTCTCTTTATGAGAGAAGCGGGATTTTACATGCTCAGCAACAAGAAACACAGAAGGGCAAGCCCCCAGTTTGGTGAAGAGAGGGAGTAATCCAATAATAATGTATTTTGAATTACACATTAGTAGCATAGTGTGACATAAAATAAGTTTTAGAGTTTGCTACGGACTGAATGTTTGTGTCCTTTGCTATGGACTGAATGTTTGTGTCCCCTCAAAATTCATGAGTTAAAGCCCTAATCCTTAATGTGATGCTGTTTGAGGTGCAGCCACTGTGAGATAATTAGGGTTAGATGAGCTCATGAGGATGGAGTGATGGGATTAATGCCCTTATAAAAGCGGGAAGAGACACAGATTCTCCCTCTCTCTCTCTCTCTGCATGCACACACCAAGGAAGGCCATGTGAGGCATAACCAGGAAGAAGGCCCTCACTAAAGACCCAACTACTCTGGCACCCTGACCTCAGATCCATAAAGGCAGAGAATCTTCATATATTTTATTCACTCATATATCCTAAGGGATAAGACGGTGCCTATAGAGTAGCACTAAATAAGTATTTGTTGAATTAACTAACCAAGTTTCAACCTGATTCTATCACTTCCTAAGGAAGTTTAAATGAACAAACTATGCCTTTTAACTTCAGTTCCCTCACCTATAAAATGATCACAATGATCATTATCTCACAGAATTAATACTAAGATTAAATGAGGTAATCTATGCAAATGGATGTTGTACTGAAGACACTCAATAAATGTTAGTGCCTAGTTTTTCTCTTTCATCTTCTCTGGCAAAAAGAATCATCAGCAGGTTGGAAAGAAGAGACTACAACAGCTACCACATGTGGGGTCCGGGAGAGAGCACAGCTACTATAAAGAGTAGCAGCTCCCTGCAACATACAAATGACTTGAAAGCAAACAGAATAATTTTCCATGACAAACATAATGCTTCCAATCAATCTGAGGAAAGGACGTTCTTCTTATGAAATACCTTTGTAAACATAAGTTTTACAATCACAATTTAAAACAGACTATATACCTTTAAAGTCACTGAAAAACAAAGCCAGGTAAGTTCATGTCATGCAGTAAAAATCGGGATAAAAAGGAAAGACCCAGGAACATGAAAGAGCATAAAATACAATGACAGACTATATAATACATGAGTTATGATAAGTGATATAAAATACTGAGTACCCTTAAAGGCTCTGAAATTAGGGTAAAATGGAAAATGAAAACACATGCTATTTTCAAGAAATGTACTTAAAACAACACACACACCCAAACATAATTTTACAAGGGGGATTGGAATGTGCCTAAGTGTAGAAAATGGTGCCGATGACAGTGCAACCGTACTGAGTAGCCCTTCCTCAAAAGCACCTTGGACGGACAGAGATGATTAGTATTAGTATTTTCACAAGCCTTAAAAGAGCCAGGAGTACTACCAGTATGATAGCTCCTAGTCAAAGATGTATATATAAGATGTTCATCCCAGAATTATTTACACAAGTGGAGTATTACAAATAACTTATTTGCCCAGAGTTAATGAGTATATTCATTTTGATATAACGAGAAGAAGGGATACTTCTCAGCTGTTAAAAAAAGATCATACTTCAAAAAATATGTTAAAAAAGGCAAGGGAAAATGTAAAGGGAAGAAAACAATAAAATTAATGCACAATTTACAATACTGAAATAAAGATGGTAACTGTATCTGTATAAATAAGTATTGGAGGAAAATATCAAGAGATTAATGTTAATATTAGTTGACATCAGTTGAGAAATTTGGAATCATTTCATTTCTGTCTTTATTCCCTTCTGTATTTCCTAATTTTTCTACAACAAAAAAGGAAACAAACTTCCAAATGTTACTTTGGAATGCAAAAAATACCGCTGGCTGAGTGAAGGTTCTACATCCTCATCTTACATGCGTGCCTCAAGCCCACTGCCATCACACTGATACGTCAAGTGCTGTAACTCCCTAAACAGCTTTGATAGGTCACCAACCACCTCCACATGGCTAAATGGAATGGGGACTCCTGAATCCTCATTTAACATGAAGTTTCAGTATCATTTGACATACCTGGCCACTTCCCTCCTGCCTTTCATTTAGTTTCCATTAGGACCTGTTCTCCTTGTTTTCCTTCTATTTTTCTGGCCTTTCCCCGCCCCCCACCCACCCACCCCCCCATTTTCCTGTACAGGCTCCTCCTCCACCCTAACCTTGAAGTCTGGATCTCAGTACCTGTTCCTTAGCCCACTTCTTCATTCATTAGGTGTTTTCTCCCCGGGTGACCTTAATCATATTCATGCTCTTTGTTACTGTTTATATGGAGATACTGGCCAATATCTTATCTCTGATCCAAGTCCTCTCTCCTGATCTGCACAGTGGAGGATCTAAATGCCTGCTGGATAGCTCACTGGTGCTGCAAACTCAGTAAGTCTAAAGTTGAACTGGAATTGAAAAAATACAACAAACTAGTGAATATGACGAAAGAGAAGCAGACTCACAGAGAACAAACTACTGGTTACCAGTGGGGAGAGGGAAGGAGAGAGGGGCAATATAGTGGTAAAGGATTAAGAGGTACAAATTATAGGGTATAAATTAAGCTACAGGGCTTCCCTGGTGGTGCAGTGGCTGAGAGTCCGCCTGCCGATGCGGGGGACGCGGGTTTGTGCCCCGGTCCGGGAAGATCCCACATGTCGTGGAGCGGCTGGGCCCGTGAGCCATGAACGCTGAGCCTGCGCGTCCGGAGCCTGTGCTCCGCAACGGGAGAGGCCACAACAGTGAGAGGCCCGCGTACCGCAAAAATAATAAAAATAAATAAAAAAAATTAGCGACAAAGATATACTATACAACACAGGAAATATCGCAAATATTTTATAATAACTACAAATGGAATATAAGCTTTAAAAATTGTGAATCACTGTATTGTACGCCTGTAACTTATATAACATTGTATATCAACTATACTTCAATTAAAAAAAAGACTCTTTGTCTCCCAAATCTAATTCTCAAAACAAAAGTGTGCCATCCATCTGACACGTGCTGGAAATCTGGCAGTCAGCCCTGATCCAATGTCTCCCTCATCCCCACCTCATTTAGTCAATTACCACTTCTTCCCCGCACACATTTCTAGAAGACATTTAATTGTCGCCATCTGTGCTGCCACAACCCGAGTGAAAACCATTACCTGCCTAGACCAGTGATTCTCCAGCACTAAGAAAGCGTTTCCGCATGCACCTATTATCTGTATTTTTAAATAAAATATACCAAGTGTACTAAGGTATTTATAAATTATATTATTAGAGACAAACTTTTAAGAGAATTTGAAAAAAGATGAAATAAACGTTTTTGTATTAATGATTATGACTTCATATTTTCATTAGGCAACATCTAAGATATGATATTTAGGGTCAAAGTCATTTTTAAGAAAAATGTAGACAGAAACATATTTCAAATGTCTTCTGGATAATTTCAGTGTTTTGGTTTACTTTTTTCCAGATATGATGGTGTCATTTGTTTAATCTAAATTTGCTGCTGACTAGTAATATTAACTCTTGTTTTCTTTTTGTTGCCTTGTGTCTGTATTATTAATATTATTTTCAATCTGTAGTTTCTGTAAAGGACTCTTTTGTACAAGATTATTTTGTTTAAAAACAGATAACAGAATCCATATCTCCACTTAACTGGGAACACATAAATCGCAATCCTTGCAAGCACGGAAAGCAAACAAGTGACAACCTGCATCATCATGGAATTGCCACTCTTCCCTCAGATCACATTTAGTACTGTACATCACAAGAAACCAGCTGTTAACAAGGGCACCAAAGTAATAGAGGGCACCAAAGTCAAGCCCCGCTATTCAATGATAATAAAGTTTAATTTTGTTCTTAGTTTTAAAATACACAATAAGCAGGGATCACAACTGTAATCTTTCCTTCCCGTTTCCCAATGGATGTCTCCTAGGCCTCCTGGGATATGCAGCTCCTCACTCTGGAAACCAAAGCCTAGATTATTGCAATAGCCAGTGTCAGTGGTTCTCAAAGAGGTGGTACAGTTTCCCCTCCCCTCAGGAAATGTTTGCAACTAGGGGAGGTGT